TGTCCTCTTTACGGGTTGTTTGCTCAGGTTTGCATCATGGGTGAACCGCAGCAGGTCAGCGCCCTGCCGCCGCCTCCGACGCAGTACATCAAAGAGTACACCGATGAAAACATCCGCAAAGGGCTGGCCCCCAAGCCCCCTCCTCCCATCAGAGACAGTTACATGATGTTTGGCAACCAGTTCCAGTGCGACGACCTCATCATCCGTCCTCTGGAGAGCCAGGGCATCGAGAGGCTTCATCCCATGCAGTTCGACCACAAGCAGCAGCTCAAGAAGCTCAACATGTCCATTCTGGTGAACTTTCTGGACCTGCTGGACATTCTTATCAAAAGTCCCGGCAGCATAAAGCGGGAAGAGAAGCTGGAGGACATTAAGCTTCTGTTCGTCCACATGCACCACCTGATAAACGAGTACCGGCCTCACCAAGCTAGAGAGACGCTGAGGGTGATGATGGAGGTGCAGAAGAGGCAGAGGCTGGAAACGGCGGAGAGGTTTCAGAAACATCTGGAGAGGGTGGTGGAGATGATCCAGGGATGCCTGGCTTCCTTACCTGACGACTTGCCTCAATCAGAGAGTCCAGATCTGGTCAGCAGTGGGACTAAGGCGGGTTCTGCTGGACCTAGTTTTGGTTCTGGACAGACCCTGCTGCTGAAAACGGAACCGATGGATGTGGAGGAAACGGGTTCCAGCTGCATGGCAGCAGCTGCGCCGGATAAAAACGTTAGCGCTTCGAAAAAGGACAAAGTTTGGGACAAGGACGCTGCCATGTGTAGCATCATTGATGAAATCGCTTAAAGTGGATCATGTTTTCTTTTTGCACCCCTGGATCATATGTTTAATTATCTTCGGTGTGAAATGTGTTTACTTGCAAATAGAATCTATAAATCTTTGTAGATATATAAACATATTAGAACTCATTGTTTTTTTTTCCCCATGATGCTCAATAAAGGATTTTTCCAATTACAGTTCAGACTCATCACAGCATTTTGATACAGAGTCCCACATAAAAGCAAATTAGCTTTTGATTGCACATCTTTGCCACCATGAAAGTCAGTGAAGGATCAGTGTGTGCAGGTCTCTCCCAGTGATTGGTTCAAAAACATTTTATTTTTTCTGCTTCTGTCTCCTTGAACCCCAGTGGGCCTCAGCAGATGGCCGCTCACACTGAG